CCAACCAAATTAATAAATATTTATCATAATTCTTTTCAAAATCCCAGTACTTTGGGGGCAAAATAAAAAAAAAACTCATCCTAAAATTCATGGGAAATGCAAAGCACCCCCCCAAACAATCTTGAAAAAGAACAGAGATCAAGAATTCCCATATCTTGATTTCAAAATTGATTATATAGCTATAGTAATCCATATCGTGTGATAGTAACATAAATGTACATGTGTATAGTATAGAAATAAATGTTTATTTTTTGTGGTAAACTGGTTTTCAGCCAGGGTTCTCAAACCATCCAAACTGCAATCTGTTTTTCAAATGGTGTTGGGGAAACTGGAAATGTACACATGAAAGAACAAAGTTCCAAATACTATATACAAAAATGGACTGTAGACTTAAACATAAGAATTATAACTAGAACTAGAAGAAAACTTAGGAGTAAATCTTCATGATCTTGGACTAGTCAGTGGTATCTTAGGTGTAAACACAAACAAGAAAAAAAAAAGCAGGTAAATGGGATTTCATCCAATTGAAACTTAGGATTCAAAGGACAATATTAACAAAGTAAAAACAAAGCACAGAATGGGAGAATTTTTTAAAATCACATATTTGATAAGGAACTTAAACCTCAGTGATAAAGACAATACCTCAATTTCTAAAATGGATAAAAGATTGGAATAAATATTTCTCCAAAGAACATATGCCAGTGTCTAATAAGCACATTATTAGTAATTGGGAAATTGCAAATCAAATCACAATGAGATACTATTTCACACCCGCTGGGATGGCTGAATTAAAAAGACAACTGGTAATGAGTGTTGACAAAGATGTGAAGAACTTAGAATCCTTATACAATGCTGATGAAAATATAAAAAGGTGTAGCCAGATTTTAAAGAGTTTGGTAGTTTCTCGTAGAGTTGCCATATTGATTTAGCAGTTTCACTCCTAGGTGTTTTCCTTGGAGAAGTGATAACATAGCTCCACACAAAAACTTACATACCAGTGTTCATAGCAGTACAATGCATTATAGCCAAGAAACAGATATAAGCAGTCCATCAGCTGATTAATGAATCAGCCAAATATGGTGTATTATTTGGCAATAAAAAGGAAAGTGAAGTCCTGATATGTGCCATTACATGAGTGAACCTCGAAAATATATGTGGTCACAGAAGGCAATATATTATTCAATTTTATGACGTGTTCAGAAAAGGCAAAAAAAGAGATAGGAAGTAGATTAATGGTTGTCAAGGATTATGGGAAGGGGGAATAATTGCTAATGAGCATGGAGTTTAATTTTGGGGTTATGAAATTGTTCTAAAATTAGTGGTAATGGTCATGCATCTCTATACTAAAAATTATTGAAATATACACTTTTTAAAAGGTAGATATAAATCTGTTATTAAAAGGTAGCTTTCATATTTAACCTATTTGCAGTGAGAATATGTTTGTGTGTTAATGGTATAAATCATTAGGTGTTTCCTGAGATCTTTGTGGGGGAGGTGGGGGGAGGTGCTGGGGATTGAACTCGGAGCTTTGTGCATTCAACTGAGCTATATCCCCAGCCCTCCTGACATACTTTTTATCTCAGTATTCTCAGACCCTAGGCTGTAGAGATTATTGCAATGAACATGTATCACAGAGAAGTTAAGGCCTATAGCCCTGGAGGTAGGTGGGAGACATGGAGTCAGAGTAAGGAAGGGAAAAAGTGAAGGCCAGGGTAGAATTTTCATATTCTAGGCTCTGACATAAGAATAAAATGCTTCTAGACAATGGGCCCTGTTCTTCCCTGTCCTTTCCTAACCCCAAAGGTCCTCCACTATCTTTGAAGGCTCAGCTCTGGTATCACTTATTAACAGTTTTGATTCTTCAGGAAGCTGCCCCTGAGATGGAGTTAGGAGTACAAAGAGTGTAATTGGGAATAACATTGGTGAAAGAAAAGAGGAGAAAACAGGACTGGGCAGAGGGAGTGTCACTCTATAATGCAGACCTACCACATGTCTCCATCAACTGGATAGGGAAATCTGCAGCTAAGGTTTCCTACCAGAAGAATTCTGTGTTGGGTGGAACTGGGTGGTCCTAGCTTCCAGTCACTAGCTAGGAGCCACACTGAGAAGAGCATGGATTTGGTTCAAAATCTGAAGTAGGTCCTAGACAACCTAACAGCTAGAGGCAGTCAGCTAACTGTATTTCTTGAGGCAGCAAGTGTTTCCTTAAAGGAGACATAATAGCACTTTCAAGTCTGTCACCCCTCTGTGTGAAATGTGTCTTGACTCTCTCCTCTCAGCCAAGGGAGAGACAGTTGCTCTCTCCTGAGAAAGAACATTCTTTCATCATTCCTGGTTTATCATTTGTCCCCTTGTCCCTAAATTCTGAACTCTTGGTAGATAGAAACTCAGTCTGAACCCCTAGTATCTAATACAGAGGAGGCTTCCATGGGCTAGCCTTGAGACCAGGTACACAAAACTAGAAGTACATAATTATTTGCCACTTTCTGTCCCTTACTTTTAAACCTCCACATTCCCGAGGGGACCCGTTTTGTTTTGTTTTGTTATCATGATGAATTTTATTTTTTAATATATTTCATTTTTATTTTGTTTTTGTTTTAATTAGTTACACATGACAGTATGATGACCTTGACATATCATACATTTGAATCAGATGGGATATAATTTCTCATTTTTCTGAGTGTACAGGTTGCAGAATCATATTGGTCATGCAGTCACATATATACCCACAGTAATAGTAATGTCTGTTTCATTCTACTATCCTTCCTATCCTCCCAACCCCTCCCCTCCCATCACTTCTCTCTACCTAATCTAAGGTAATGCTATTCTTTTTTTTTTCTTTCTTTCTTTCTTTCTCACATCTTTATGCATGTGTTTTGTATAATGATGAGGGTCTTCTTCCACCATCCATGTAATTCCCCTTCTCCCTCCCTTTATTCCCCACCCCTCTTCCCTATGCAAAGGTACTCTTCTTCCCATGCCCTTCCTCCCTACCCCATTTTGAGTCACCCCAACGGACCCATTTGGGGTTCTAACCCCTTTTTCTCTGTGCCCTTCACATCTGTTGAGGACCTCATGGCTTAAATACAGTCTATATGTCATATGCCAGACTTTCAAATTTATCTCACTAGCTCATCCTTCTCCCCTAAAAGCCAGATTCATTCCTTACTCATAAGGAATTTCTTACTCTTTATTTTGAATATATGATTAGGTATCACAGCTCAACAGGTCTACAACTGAACTACTGATTTTATTGCTAAAACCTTCCTCCTCCATTAATAAGTAGCAACTCTACTATACTTCTTGCTTAGATCAAAAATTTGAAGTTAAACTTGCCTCTTTTCTTCCTCTTGTACCCCTAACAAATCCAGTCAGTTTTGTCCCGAATCTGAACACTTCTTTCCACCAAGCTGTGATTAGTGTTGGTACCTGAAGTAGCAAAAATTGGTTTCCCTGATTTTTGCCTTTGTCTCCCTTTCCCTTGTCTCCCCAATTCTTTTCTCAACACATCAGCCAAAATGATTCTTTTAAAATATAAGTCAAGTCATTTCACTCCTCTCCTAAATCCTACAGTGATGTTCCATGGCTTCCATTCTCAGAGTAAAGGTGGTTGCATTGTCCACAAATCCACACCTATTCTGATCCCCTACTTCCTCCCAACCCTCACCTCCTATCTATCCCTGTCACTCTTAGCTTTAGCCACACTGGCCACTTTGTTGTTCCTTGTACAAAGTTCTGCCTTGGGGCCTTTGCTATGATTTCATATGTTATACAAAGCTGGTACTTCACTTTTCTTCAAATTTCTGTCCAGATGTCATTGTACCTCAATTCTTAGTGACACCTTCCTTGATTGACCATTCTATTTAAAATTGCATCACCTTCTTCTAGCACTCACATCTCCTTTGATTTGTTTCTGAGAGCACTTACTACCATATAAAATTATATCTGTTTTACTAATATATTTGACCATGTCCCCTCACTTAAAAAGTAAACTCTATAAGGGGTAAGATTTTTGAAAGTTGTAGTTTCTCCTCTCTTCCAGTAGCCATTAAGCATCTGACACTTACTAGGCCTTCAGTTGCTAATGGGCTAGGTCATTAATAAGTTCCTTTAATGTCCTATGAGAGTATTCCCATTGTGCAATTTTGGTGGCCTTCTACACCAACCCACACTCTCAGTGGGACATACTAGAGCCATTGTTCATGTCTGAGGGAGCTCTCTGGGTCCAGGTTCTCTCAGTGAAGAAAGGCATTGCAGGGGATCACAGACACATTTATACTAACAAGGGCACAATCTAGAAAGGTCCTATGAACCAGACTGTCCCATTTCCTGTAGTACATAACCAGTAGTCCATATATATGTTCTGCAATCAAGAAAAGGAAAAGAGTCTCTTCTAAAAAAAACTTTGGTGAAAATTGTGTATTTTTTTAATCTTACTAATGTACAGTATAATAGGTTCTGTTTCTATAGTTAAGGAATTATTCCATTAGTGAGGAGAAAATTAATTTAACCATTGATCTATAGTTTTTTGATTTTTAATTCTTAAAAAATATTATATGCATAAGCTGTGTAGCACAGATTACATACAGGAAATTATACTGGTACTTCATTGTTTTAAAAATGGGTAGTTATGCCAGTCACAGTGGTCCACGCCTATAATCCCAGCAGCTCTGGAGGTTGAGACAGGAGGATCTCAAGTTCAAAGCCAGCCTCAGCAAAAATGAGGTGCTAAACAATTCAGTGAGACACCCTGTCTCTAAATAAAATACAAAATAGGGCTAAGGGTGTGTCTCAGTGATCAAGTGCCCCTGAGTTCAATCCCCAGTACCAAAAAAGAAAAATTGGCAGTTACGCTGATACATAAAAATGCCATTTGAAAATTCCACAGCATCTTTATGTTCAGTTTGTGGCGTCATAATTGACCATATATCAAAAGTGGTAGATTCAATAGTTTACTGAAACAGTCGAGTTTCATTATTGCTACTTAATTTTTTTTACAGGGCAAAATTCTAAAAACATCAGTTCATCTCCAAGCATTGAGAGTTTGCCTGGAGGAAGAGAATTCACTGGCTCCCCACCTTCATCTGCTACTAAAAAAGATTCCTTTTTTAGCAACATCTCCCGGTCCCGCTCACACAGCAAAACTATGGGCAGGAAAGAATCTGTAAGTATTTAAAGACCCTTTATTTGGTTTTTATTCTTCATTTTCCTCTAGATTGCTGCATTTACAAAAGCTCCCCTGGTGCCCATTTTTATAAAGCTCTTATAACTTTCATGAACTAAAACAAATTATTTTATCAAAAGTATCTTTGTTTTAGTAGTATAATTTAGTAATATTTTAAGGCTATGTTCTTTATTAGCAGGGGGAAAAAGTAGCATTATTAAAAATGAATTTAATCTTTCCCAAATCCCTGGACTATCCTTCTGTCCTCTGCAAAATGCATTTTTGTCAAAACCCATTTTCTTCTGAAATTTAACAAATAACATTATATCAGTGAGAGATTATGACATTTGAAATAAACCAAGCTAATTTTTCCATTTTAAGTATTTCTTAAAAACTAAAAATAATTATCTTACTATTTGTTTTTAAAAAGCTATAAACTACATTTAAGTTATAGTGTTTTGATAGTTGCTCTGTAAGATCCATTGTATACATTTCCCAATAGGACGTACCTAAAGCATGTCAACTGCTTTAAAAATTTTGTTTTGTAGGCAGGGGCTGGGGCTCAGCAGTAGCACACCTGCCTGGCAAGTGTGAAGCACTTGGTTGGATTCTCAGCACCACATATTAATAAATAAAATAAAGGTTTATCAATAACTAAAAAATATTTTTTAAAAACCTGGTAGTATCTGAAATCTTTATAAAATAACTTTATAAAACTTTGTTTAACCACATTTTATGGCTAGTTTAACACCTGATATACTAATATGAACTCATATGCTCACTTTAAGATGAGACATTGTAATAGTAATACAGGATCTAGCTATAATTGGAACGGACCTAAATTTGGGGGGAAAATGAACTACAAAACCTTACAGGGATGATAATTCAAAGTATATAGAATAAATAATAAGGTATCTATCTATGTGATCTTGGATGTCCTTGAGTAAGATAATCAGCTTCCTGGTATTTCAACTACTACATCTGCAAATTAAATAATATATAGTTATATATCACATAATGATGGGGCTGTTCTGAGAAATACATTATTAGGCCATTCTGTTGTTCTGTGAACATCATTGAATGTACTTATATCATCTAAATAGCTATGATATCACTGACATAATCCTATGGGATCACTGGGGTTCCTCATTGACCAAAACATCATTTTGCAGCACATGACTGTACTTTGCTCTCTGAAGGGAAGAGTTCACTGCATGCTGTCTTCAGATCCCTTTTATTTAGAAACTGTAATTCTATAATTTAAAAAACAGCACAATAGAACAGTTTTGTTTAAAGATGGCACCTTTAATGTGACCAGTTTAACTCTGCTCCCTTGTAAAACTCCAGCCTAAGGAAAATAAGAGAATAAGAAAACAAAAGAAAAGACAACAGAAAAAAAAAAAAGTTTGTTTAAAGCAGATAGTAGTTGGTAACCAAGTACTAAGTCAGTAAGTAAAACCCAAGAAGCAAGTGCATTTAGGTTGTGAAATCCTCCAGGAACTCAGGAACTGAGAATGAGGATGAAAAGAGAACTGAAGGGATGATAATTCATGGAAGTGTTTAAAGAATCCAGTTTCTTTCCCCACTTAAGTAGAAGACCAGAAGTTTCATTTCCAGAGAAGCATAAAGCAGAGCATCAGGCACATTCCACTATGGAACTACCCTATTGGAAAAGGGGTGATGAATATACTTGAGTCCTAAAGTTTGAGGATACCACGCCACCACCCACACACACATTCACACATGGGCTCCTCCTATTGCTTCCCTGAGCACCAATATGCTCAACTCTTCAAGCAGGAAATTGGAAGAGTTTTCTTTAGGCACACACACAGATGGGGTGTGTACAAACTGTATGTTTACATGAGAAGAGGAGAGAGCAGGAAGGTGGTGGTCAGTAGAACTAAACCTCTTTCCATAGTGGGAAAACACTGGAGAAAAATTAAAAAGTAACAATACAAACTAACAAAACAAACAAACAAAAAATTTGAAAGAGGTTGCTTCTGGGAACAGGAAGTGGAAGGTAGTGTTGTGGGAACTGTCTTTCATAACAGGCCCTGTAGAACCATTTGACTCTTCAGTATTACACAGGTGACTGAGATTTAAAATAATAACTAAAAATTACAACAAAAATAGAATGCATTGGCATAATAAATTAGAAGAGCTGTCTGTATGAAGAATCATGTATGTGAAGAGCCAGAATAAAGGAATAACAAATGAGAAAGGCATATGGAGACATGTTTCATTTGCATTCTATTATATTTTTGGTAGCATATGGATTAGTCTACAACATAAATTAATTACATCTCTTGATGGTGATATTTTAACATAAAACTGAGAAGTTGAACAAAAATAGAAATAGGGTAAGTCTAACTCCCTACATAGATGTGCTGTGAACCAAGAGACAGAATGGAAGTGATCATTCAAAATTTAATGTTTCCTAACCTGTGGGGAGAAAGTAGGCAGAAATTTTTAAGAGAAAGTTCATGGTTTTTTAAGTAATACAGTAGTTTTATTATTTTATGAAATAGCGTGTGGTAGTCAGTTCTCTTTGCTATCTCTTGCTAGGATTATACCTCCTTGTCCCCTTTGATCTGTCAAAGTCATGTGACTAGTTCTGTCCAGTGAATTGTGAGTGGAAGTGATAACACATGTATTGCCACTGCAAAAGCCTCCACTACTCAAATTTTCTCAAGCACAAAGAGCGGAGTCTTCCTGTCAGCCCAGGAAGTACATACATGAAATATGCTTTGATTGATGTAAGATTTGATTGATGGTTATCACAGCCTAACAGTGCATAGTTGGAAAATGCTCAGGCCCACAGCTGGCAATCATTCTCCCATGGGAGTGATGAGCTACTTACCTGACATAGGAGTAGTCTCAGTGTCACCAAGCCTGATTAGGTACCCACCATCCTTGCACCCACTTTGCTTTTATTTCAGCTCAGTTTGGTGTGAAGAAGGGGTAGTGTCCTTGAAAAAGCTCAAGATAGTTTTTTATTAAGTCATTATCATCAGTTTCTCACACCAGCAACTGGTCAGAAATTGAAACAAGATACCTGGAATTAAACTATATGATGCTTTTCAGATTTCAAGATTCCATTAATCTTTTAAAGCAGTCTAGCATCAAGAGTGTTGATGTCAATTATCAAAAAGTTACAATAGCAGTTGAAAACTGACATACAACCAAAGATAACCTAGTAATAGCTATCATCCCAAGTGTGGTGAAATCTGCTTATAATGGTATTTTGAGAAATGATTTTCAAAATCAATACAGGTGCAACATATCCTGGATGAGCATCACCTTATGTCGCAGAACTTTTTCCCTCTTGGTATCTCCTGTATGTGTACCATGTAAAGCCCTTTTGTAATCTGCAGGCTATCTTCTTTAGATAAAGATACATCTGGCTATATGAGAGGGCCATATTTAACTAAAATTCTAAAGAGGTAACAGATTAACCCTTGTGCAGATGTTTATAAAAGACATCATTAAACTTCTTTACTGAACTGTGAACAAAGTAGAGAGTTTTAAAAATTGGCCTCACTTTACTACCCATCATACCATGGTTTTGAAGATTGGTATTTATTCATGAAGTCGGTTTTCTTTCTGTCTTATTTCTCAAAAGAGCCTTTAAGTCTTACCTAATTCAAACTAGGTTTTAATTAAGCTCTTTTGTCTTGAAGAAAAATGGAAAATTTTGATACTTTTAATATTTTATGCTTTATTTTACATGACAAGTGTCATCCAGTACTTAAGTTTCCTAGAAATGTGCTTTTTAGTTGGTCATTTATCTATTAAATAAGTTTTTAGTCATGTTCTATGATTGTTGCTAAATTATTTTCTAATGGTATCTTTGCTATGGTTAAAAGATAGGGAAGATAATGAATATAAGGAAAACTCTAAAAGTGACTTATGTGAATAAATTCTAATATTTTTTAAAAAGGATTAATTTTTTAAGTTCCTGAAGAACTGCAAGACATTTTGCTATGTTTATGATAATTATATATCAATCTTCAAAAACCTGAAAATATCCATGATTCAGAATTCTCAAGAAAGGACAGAAAAATCAAAAGCTTCCTGAGCTAGATATCCCTACCTAAGACAGGATGCATAATGATAAACCCACCACCAAGGGTTCATAGTGCTTCTGAGGGGCTCACCCCGTGTGTTTATAACCCTGCATTCACACCTCTTTGCCCCTTAGTAGTCTGAATATACACCATGGTCATACTAATAGGACTTAATCTTATAATATTCTTTGGTCTATTCTTTATCATGACAGAATAACAAAAAGTATCAGGTGAATGAAAAGAAAGTGGATTCTTATTTACCTATGGAAGTAGAGACAACTTGAACATTACCTAATCTACTTCTGGCCTTATTTTAGAAACTGTAATTTAAAACATTATACCTGAATAAGGAATATAAGATAAAATGCTTATAGTGAAACTGGAGAAGGGGAAGTTAAGTAATTAAACTAAATTTTTTTTAAAACTCATTTACTGAAGAGATATGGTTATAAGCAGTAAAGATACACACACACCCTTTCCAGAGACAGTATTTGGGAAATCCTCATGAGGCTTATTTTCTCATCCCATGGGCAGAATTCAATTCCATGCCCACTCCTAAGCCAACCTCTGTTTAAGGGGAAAGGTTAAGAGAACCCCATGACTGTGTGTGTGAAAAGGCTGTAGGCAGATATGATAAGGCAGCCAACAACTTAGTAGGCAATTAACTGACAGAATAATCTATCTTATCCTCCCCTGAAACAGAGCCAGTTTTGTTGTAATTAGTTATGTTTTAGCAGTGGATTTTCAGGCCACTTGAGTTAAATTGGTGGTTGGAAAAGAATGGAACAGAGTGTACCTTTCCCAGGACACCAGAATTTTCTAGTTACCTGATTTTCTTTCAAGTCAATGATGTGTATACTACCCAGGAACACATGGGAAGTTTCAATCACAATGGATTTTTTTATGGACTGGGTGGAATTGAATGCTGGCCTC